CACTCAGTGGGACACAGACAGAATAGAACAGTGCTTACTAGTGAATTTAAGTGGCTTGGGTCTACTGCCCAGAGCCCTGTGGAAGCTCTCAGAGTGCAAGAGATAGGGGGAAAAAAATGTAGCTCGATGAGTCACAAGGGGCCTGGATTCGAGTTCTGGCTCCACCACTGCCTGCCACGTGACTTCGGTGTGTCCTTTACTCCCATGCACCTCATTCAGCTCACCTGGAAAGGGAAAGCAAGGGCAGGGAGTGTGGTGTGAACTGACCAGGCCTCCAGGTAGAGGAGCCAGGTTTGGCTAACACCATGAGAATGGCAAGGAATGCTAGGCCTGGCTCTCTGGAAAAGCTCCTGATTAGAACCCAAGCCTGGGGGAAAGTTGGCAGGGTCCTGTGCATTGGTTGGGAGAGTAGAAGGTTCTGCTGGAGCAAAACAGGGATGGGCCATTCTAAGGCCTGCTCTCTGCTCAGAGGTGTCTGTTCTGGGGAATATGAAAATCACACTGAACTTTGGGATACTTTAAAAGCAGAAAAGGGAAGAAAATCAATGGATTATTTTTTCTTCTTTCCTATAGAGGCTGTGTGCATGGATCATTTTTCTTTACCTTTCCTTGAAAATTTGCCTTCACTTTAGCCAATTAGGAGCTGTGCAACCCCAATGACTGACTCCTTTTGAATTCACTTATTTTATAGTAATGGATTCATGACTCATTATTATTCTTGTAAAAAAAGAAGTTCCAGGAAGAACAAACAAATCATTCTGACTTCCACACCCTCTTCGCTCCTTCTCTCCTTTCTCTCCCTCTCTCCCTACTCTCCTCCCTCTTTCTCTCTCTCTCGCAGTCACTTGGTGGTCACATGTCTTTATGATATTTGCATTCATCTCAGTAATTTAAAGAACTTCTGCATCAAGCCATTGATAAATATTTCTTATGCCCTTACTGTGTAGAAAGTACCTAAAGAAAGTCAAATTATCTCGGGAATCATGGAGCAGTATTTGCACAGTGTGAAGGCCTGTTAGTACCTTCCGGATTCAGCCCACCCATGCTAGAAGGCAAGTGTGTCTGGAAAAGGCCACTGGCTTTCCTAAAATAAAAGATGCATTTCCCCCCCCCCCCCTTTTATTTTTCCCTGCAGAATAAGAGAGCCATGGCTGAGCCGAGTGTGGAGCACTATACCACCTCGCAGGCCATCATGAACTTGGAAAAGACCATTTGGGACCATTGAGATACTTCTTGCTCAAAGAGAGCAAGGATGTAAAGCAGCTGGCAGAGCCCCCTGTGAGCAAGCAGCCTGGTGGGGGCAAGTCAGGAGAAGCCACTGATGGATGAGGAGCTGGGATATTCAGCAGAGGGAATTCAACAGCTTGGACAGAGAGAGATTTCTGCTCCGCCTCACGGTAAGGCAAAAGGGAGAGAAAACACGGAGTTTGCTTCCTCAGTAAAGCACTTTGTGCCTGCCGTGGGCTCCACCTCTGCAGGGCTGGAAATCCTTTGGGGGAGCCATGGAGCCAGGACATGGGGGAGGAAGGCACGGGAGAGAATAAACACCAAGAGTAAATTTCTTGCTGCCCCTGGAGACAATGTTTCCTTTAGGTGACAACAGAGGTTAATATCCTGAGCAGCAAGCCACTGGGCGGCCCAGAGACACCTTGCTTGACCAAGCTGTTTTAATGTCTTGTTGTAGATTTCATTGAACTCTGAAAGGGCCAATTCGTCTCTCCATGCGGAGACTGTTAATTCAGCTTTCTTGAAAAGTTCACGGACTTCTATCACTCTCCACCTACCTGTACCCACACATCCACTGTCTTCTCCCACCCACGCTCCTTGAATGCCCCTAAGGACACCAGCCTGCTAGGGAGTTCACGTTTACACACGGAGACTTTTCAGTCTGCAGAGGGAGAAAGTACGGGCAGTGGTTTTTTCCTGACCCCTCTCCCCCTCCCCTCGTGCCTGTCCCTAACAGGTGGTCATGTCATTTCTCATTCTCCAGTAGACTAGTTAATTTCAAAAGCAGCCTCACAGGCAAGGGCATTTTCTTTTCTATTCTTATTTTCATCAAGAGGTGAACAAAAATAATCACCTCGGGAGACAAAAAGCCCTAATGAAAACCAGAGAGCAAAAGAGATCCGAGGAAGACAGGGTTGTTTTTCATCTGGAGTCATTAGTGACATCTTAGAAAGAAGATGTGAAATTTGTTTGCAACTTCTCTGGAATGGGCAGAAAACACAGATCAAGTGGTCATGGGCTGGGTCGAGGGGGTGGGAAATCTTTTTTGAAAGTCCGATTTTACACACACACACACATAAACACAAGTTGGGGGAACCCAACCACTGACAACTTGATCTCCATAGACACCAACCCCATTCTGAGTGCTCATAAAAGCAAGCACAGGGACAGCCCCCAAGGACTGTCTATGCCAACTTTCAAAAACAGCCGAACTTACCAGCCTTTGGAAATCAGTGCTGTCTTTGAAAGTAAGAGGCTTACAATCTCCAAACCACTTCCTAAGTGGCCAAGGCCCAGCTTCCTAAGGTGGTCCCAGGCCTGTGAAGTTCCATATTGACAGAGGCTTTGGAAATTAAAGGCCGGGTTGAAATGGGGCCCGGAGCTCCACGCTTCCTGCCCCGGCCATGGCTACAAGTAAAAAGCCGGTATCATCCCTGAGGAGAAGCTGGCGAGGCTCCACAGTAATGCCTGGGGTCAGTGTGGCCCCACTGGGGAGAGTGGCCAAACCCACAGTGCCTGTGAGCATCACACAATCCTCGGGAAGTGTTCCAGTTCTAACCCTTTACAGATGATTCAGGGAGAGAGGGAGTGTGTAGATTGGAGAGAAAGTTAAAGGGGATGGGCAGCACATTTGGGGATGTGGACATCAAACAGATGGAATTTTAATGAAAATACTTAAGACTTTTTAAGGCACGAGTGATACAAAGCTACCTCTAGTCTGTTTGCCTTCTGGGAATTATACAACGTTTTAAAGATCACAATATTAAGAATTTGGAAATAAAACCCAGATTTAGAAAAGTGTATTTATGTCAACCCACCCATTTCTGGGCGTATTTACCCTAAAACAGTGTCTTGTCTCTCCTCTAGTCTCTTGGCTACCTACCTCCCTTCATCCATCTAACTAAAATCCAAGGAAGGCAAATTGCCACTTATGATCATTTCGCTAAAGTGGTCCTCATTCACTTTGCTTTTCTTCTCTTTTGGAATAAAAGTCTGTCATAAATGTTTAATTAAATGGAAGTCTTTCCACTGTTAATGACTAGCTGTATGAAAGGCTTTTCATTTTTTTAAGGAGGGTGTGTGTGTGTGTGTGTGTGTGTGTGTGTGTGTGTGTGTGTGTGTTTAAAACGGTCCCTATTAATTTCCTGATATTGATTCTCTGGCTGGGGAAGAGCATATAGTATTCAGCATAGAGCTCCTCTGCAGAATATGTTAAAGGCAGCGGTTTGGATTGAGAAAGGGCACCAAATGCAGTATGCGTCAAATAGACCATCGCTCAATGAAGTCACTTAGCTATTCAAAACATGTTCAGCCATCACTCAACCGTTTGCACCAAGAATGTTGGGAAGGGGGCATGGGATTTGTGTTCTTTCCCAGATGTAACCATTTCCCAAAGAATGGCTTTGGCTCAGTTTGGGTCAGACCCTGGGGCCACATCAGTTTCTCCCTCGCCCATCCATTTCCCTCTTTTCTCCCCCCACCTCCTGGTCTCAACTCCCTGCATCACCATCCCATGTTGAGCTTAACAAACAATCCTGCAGTCCCTGCTTCCCGACGCTGCCTCAAACGGCCTCCAGTATTGGTTCATATCAAAAGCAAAGCACATAAGCCTTTTTTTTTCCACATGGAGGCATATGTATCTCTCTGTGCACGTCTTTCTATGGGTGGCCGTAGCTTGCACACACAGACATATATAGCCACTTAAATGAAGTCCCTCATATTAAAGTCTGTTGCCAAATGCAGGTTGGACGACCCACAGGAGTTTTTTTCTGTGCTTATTAATGTGCCCCAGAAGTACATGCCTTCATCCATAGCCTGATCTCCCAGCCTTTACACCGCAGGGGCCCCTGCGCCCATAGCACAGACACACATGCCTCAACACCCCACAAGATCAAGGCAAACAGCTGACACCCCCGACTCCCCCCTCAACCTCCCCATGCCCTCACTTCCCTCTCTCCCTCCCTCCCTGCCTGCACAATGTCTGATTCTCAAGCTGGCTGCAATGCTGACTCTACTAGCTTCTGGCTAACAGACATGTCACTCTGTGGCAGTCTAACCCGCAAGTGAATTGCTGTTTATTAGAACTTGGACTTGTTTCCTGTGAGAGACGTATGTATTTTTAGACTTTGTAAACGTTAAAACACACAAATACACACACGCAGCCAGGCACCTCGAACGATATGTGTGGCTTATAGACATTACGAAATACTCTTGAACTCAGCTTGAGATCCTGGAATAATTAGGATTTTTCCAAATAAGGATTCTTAGAAACAAGAGATTCCTTTTTAAATAAGGAGATTTGCAGATGGTGATGCGTCTAGGACTTTTGGGGAGTAAGGGGAAGAGGAGGGAAAAGGGAAGAGCATTTTTGAATTCTTCGTTGCGAAAAGAGAAACAGCATAGACAGAAGCAATTATTTTCCCCTCTCATAGATGGCAATGCTAAATTAGATGGTAAATCCTAATGACTCCAAAGCAGGCAGAACATCTTTGACTTTTAAAGACAATCTCTTGTCGTTTTCACCATGTCATAGATTATTCCAGTGAGGATGTTTGAGGGGAAGGAGGGATGGCAGAGGCGAGGGAGTAGAGTATGGGTTTTGCTTATTGATTTTCTTTCCTCTGAAACTAACCCAACCAACCTTGATCAGTGGTGGAAGGAGTGAACTAAGAAAATGGTGGAATGTAAAGGGGACTTATTTGGAGGAGGGGGGAGGGGGGAGCGAGAGGGGAGGGGTGGGGTGGAGAGGGGGGAGGAGATGGGAAGTCACATACCTTCTAGGCAGCAGGTTCTCCATAATCCGGAATGGGTCATAACTTCCTCGTTCTTTTTGCTGGTTTCATTCTCACTGACACTTTTGGTCTTGCAAACCCCTCTGGAGTACAGCCAATAGTCGGTTCCCACAGCTATGGTCATCAGGCTGAAGGCAGCGAAAGCACCAACGGTGGTTAAAAGCATTTGAACACCTCGATCAAACAGCCCCATAATTCTTCATTATATAAACACCCAACCGACTTCTGGTTCTCGGGAGAGTGTGTGTGAGGGTGCAAGTACTAAAGCAAGAAAAAATAATAAATAAAAATAAAAATTATTCCACTACTAATATAATGGATATATGTATGAATAGAGAATATGGAGAGTTATAAAAAAAAGGGAGGTAAGAAAGCTCACGGAAAAGAGTGTAAATTATAAAGATCACACGGGAAGAGGCTTGCCTTTTGAGATCAGAAACTGTTCCAGTTGCAGTGATTAAAAAAAAAAAAAAGAAAAAAGAAAAAGAAAAAGAAATAAAAGACACCCCCCACCCCCCCAAGTGAGATGCCTTAATCTCTTTTCCTAAAATTCTGGTCTCCAGTTTCCATATGTGATGGCTAATTTGGAGATGGCTTCCACAGTGAACCAGGGAGCAGCCGAATTCTCAACACCATTTCTCATGGTCGGGACCTAGACAGTTAGAGATTGTAAGAGCCGAGATGCAACCTTCGGTCTTCGTTCTCGGCTCTGCGGCCTGCGCCATGAAAATCCTTTGCTTCGCCAGTTCTCTTCCTTGGGGGGTCTCGGCGCTTTCGTTTCAGACCAGACTTCCCAGTATTCTGTAAGCCCTTGAGCTCAGCTGCACAGGTGCGGGGGTCTCGCCTTCCATGGTTTTGCCCGGGCAGCGGCGGCGGCGGCAGGGCGGGCAGGTGCAGCGGCGGCGGCGGCGGCAGGACGAGCAGCGGCGGCGGTTATTGTTGTTGGTAGCGGGGGTAGTATTGGCGAAGCGGGGGAGAGAGGGGGTTTCTCCCGGAGAATCGAGGCGGGTTTCCCTCCCCCTCTCTGCAAAGCTCCTGGAAACGAGGGAGCCGGCGTCTTGCTGCAGGGTGGGCCGCGCGCCTGCCCCCCACTCGCTGCCGGCTGGGCCCCCGCGGAGGCGCTCCCACCTACTGCATTACGGGTGGTGCTGAACCGGACAGCTCCCTGCGCCGCCCGCTCCGCGCGCTTCCCGGCTCCCAGGGCCGCCCGCCAGGAGGGGGGCGCGGGCCAGAGTCCTCCCTCCCCGGGGCAGCACGGCCAGCGCAGAGCGGGGGCCGCCTTTCCTGTTTTTACCCCTCTCCCAAATCCTAAAATGAGCGCTCTCCTGGGCTCCCGGAGCTTAGAGGAAGGCGTAGCTAGAGATAGCTGGCTCCCTCTCCCTCTTCCTCTCTCCCTCTCCCTCTCCCCCTCCCCCCCTCTCTCCCTCTCTCAGTCTCTCTCTCTCTCTCTCTCTCTCTCTCTCTCTCTCTCTCTCTCTCACACACACACACACACACACTCTCTCTCTCTCTCTCCCCTTCCCCCAACTTGGTGTTTCTTCCATCTCAGCCTCCTTCTCATTCCATCTCTACGTGCCCAGAGCTTCAAATACAACCCTCCCCTCACAATCAGACGGGCACAAAACTTCAACCAGCCGTTTCTCTGCCTGGAAGCGGTGAGAATGTAATCTGGATGGGTAATTACAAACATGTCTTTGTGTGTGTGTGTGTGTGTGTGTGTGTGTGTGTGTTTAAATCATTGTGTTCACTTTGCTTTTCTGGGGATTTGTTTTATTTTGTTGGTCCGTTAGATGGATCTTCTTTTGGTTTTCCTCTCTCCTCTCTTTGTCTCTCTCTGGCTACCAGGGGGTGTGCATCGCTCTGTCTGTGTCTCTCTGTAGTTTTCCGTGAAATTCCAAATCTTGCTTCTACAAGCAGACATTTTGGGAAGATTATTCATGGAAAAGGGTGCAAAAGGGTGACTCGTAGCTGGGGCTTGGGCAGTGATTTTCATTTCAAGGATAAACATGTTCTCAGGGAAAGTGGGTGAAATGTGAATCCTTCTGAGTTTCCTATGTCATTCATAAGCTGGTTTGGAAGAGATAAAAAAATCTTCGTTCTGTGAACACTGGAACACCAAAACCCTTCCCTCTTTCTCAGAAGAATCATTGTCTGTTGCTTAATTACAGTGTCACCTCTCATTTTTCTATGTGCAACTTTTCCTTAATATGACCTCTGGTAGAAAGAAGCACATTAATTCCCGCTGCTACGGATTACATTTTTTCTCTGATCAGTTTTATAGTTAAGTGAGTGACTGCACATGAGGCATGATGTGCGTGCATGTTTTTGATATTTTGTGTGTGTGCATGTGTGTGTGGGGGGGACCCTGGAGAGCGTGTGAGTCTGATGGGTCACTTGAGGTGGGGGGAGTTGAGATGTTTCAATCCCATAACTCAATTATTCAATAGTTTCTTCTCTCTCCCTCTACTATTTTTTCCCTTGACATTATTTGCTTGAAAATTTCTCAGTGATATGGTGATTATCAGAGAGTATGTTAAAGATGACTGAATTAAAAATAGTTTTTCTTTGGTGTAAAGTCCATTGCCTAACTTCCTTCTCTCAGCTCAGAGTTGGTCTGCAGGTACGACCAGCACATTTTTCTTGACATAGAAAAACTACCTGTTTCCCCACCCAGCACAGAACTTCCTTTCTCCCACTCTGTTCTTAGAAGAGAAAGGCTTCTGTGAGGGGCAATTTTTGTGCTTCTGGTGTCTGCGAGAGGGTCCTGGTGTCTGGAGAGCAGAACCACAGTTTCTGCAATCTCTGCTAAGGTACCTTTAGGGTACATCAAGAGCTGTATTTGCAGGCTGAAGACTTCTTCACTTTGATTTCTTGTCCTGTGAGGATGGGGATAGGGACTGGAATGGGGAGAAGCTGATATGCTGATCCCATATAGCAGGGAATCTTGCATCCAGCCAGTGGCTCAGGTGGCTGATTTTCATGACTTCTGTCCTTGAAGAAAAGGTGAGGGGCAAATAACCAAGTCCTCTTAGGCTAGGCCTTTTGCGGGGAGTGGAGAGAAGCTTGAGGGTAGTCACATGAGCCAAAGAGGCTTACCCTCACTTATTGCTATCACCTTGGTTGTCTTTGACCTGTCCAAAAAGTCCCTTTAGACTGCAGATAGAACCTTTCTTCTCCTCTCCCTCCCGCTTTTAGACCAACCCTTGAATGTTTTGCTCAAAAGAAATCAGTACAGAAGCTCAGAAACTTCTGTTTCTCTACAGAATCTGCTAACATTTTAGCCACTGACAGCAGCTGCAGCTTTAGCAGCATTTGATTAATTTTCTGGCCAGATGATCATTGAGAAATGAAAGAAGGGTGGGGGAGGAAAGCAACAGCTTTTAGCCTGCCAGCAGGGACAGAGCAGAGACTACTAGAGACAGAATGGGCCTGGGGCACCACCTGACTCTGCTACTCAGTAAGGGTATGGCTCCAAACAAGTTAAGTTCCTAGAGCCTCAGTTTTACCATCTGCTAAATGGGGCAATTTAGTCCCTACCTGCTCCTTTCTGAAGTTCTTTCCAGCTACTCTCTGCTTTTCACCACCACGTCACTCACCCTATTCAGACCTCCACCATCACCTGTATAGCACATTATTGCGCATGTGTTGTCTTCTTCACTGACTTGAAAGCTCTTTGAGGTCAACAGCGATTTCTTGTTCACTGTTATATCATTGGGACCTGGAGTGTAGCTTTATGCGTAGTAGATATTTGATGAACAATGGCTGGAGTGATCACAGTAAGGGTTAAATGGTAGATGTGAAGTGCCTGACACATAGTAGGCACTCAATAAGTGTGGGTTTTCTTTTATTTCTCCTCTTTTCTTTTACATCCAAATTGCTCTCCAGCTTCTTCCTCCTCCTCTCCTCCTTCCTCTTCTCCTCCTCCTCTTTTTCCTCCTCCTCCTCCTCCTCTCCCTCCTCCTCCTCCTCCTCGCCCTCCTCCTCCTCTCCCTCCTCCTCCTCCTCCTCTTCCTCCTCGCCCTCCTCCTCCTCCTCCTCCTCTCCCTCCTCCTCCTCTCCCTCCTCCTCCTCTCCCTCCTCCTCCTCTCCCTCCTCCTCCTCTCCCTCCTCCTCGCCCTCCTCCTCCTCCTCCTCCTCTCCCTCCTCCTCCTCCTCCTCGCTCTCCTCCTCCTCCTCCTCCTCTCCCTCCTCCTCCTCCTCCTCGCCCTCCTCCTCGCCCTCCTCCTCCTCCTCCTCCTTCTTCTTTTTTCCTTCTTCTTTCTTCTTTCTTCGATGGTGTCTCCCTCTGTCGCCCAGGCTGGAGTGCAGTGGTGTGATCTTGGCTCACTGCAACCTCTGCCTCCTGGGTTCAAGTGATTTTCCTGTGTCAGCCTCCCAAGTAACTGAAATTACAGGTGCCTGCCACCATGCCCGGCTAATTTTTTGTATTTTTAGTAGAGACAAGGTTTCGCCATGTCGGCCAGGCTGGTCTTGAAGTCCTGACCTCAGGTGCAAAGTCCTGACCTCAGTCTTGACCTCAGTCAGCCCGCCTTGGACTCCCAAATTGCTAGGACTAAAGGCTTGAGTCACAGCACCTGGCCTCCAGATTCTTCTTCCATGTGGTTTATGTACCAGCCCCCCGCCCCTGCCCAATCTAGTTCTTCTCCTTAGGTCCCTTCTGCTGACCGGGCAAGGCTACCTGGGAAGACCTGGCTTGGTACAAGCCCCATTAGGTGGTTGGGACGCACCAGGCACACTTAGTACTTAGTAGCTGCTAAATGGATACTCTTAGGGGAGCAACTTTGTATGCCTGCAGGTGGTTACTTGGGAAGGGCTTAGAGGAAATTAGCTGAAATGCCACAGGCCTATTTTGAGCTGCTTCTTTGATGTAGTGAAAATAACATGGGATTTGGGCACAGCAGACCTGGCCTTGAAGCACAAGGCTACCATTTCCTAACGTTTGACCTTGGCCAGTCTTTTAACCTCTCTGGAAATTTGTCTCTTCGTCTCTCTAGGAGGACCATGGTTGTGAGCATTATGGTATGGCTGTCAGTGTTGCACATTAATAGCCATGAGAACAGCTAACATTTGTTGGGCATTTGCTGTGTGCCAGGCGCAGACCTAACCTGAATGGCACAATGATCCTTTGACATAGGTGCCATCATTATCCTCATTTTACGGATGAGGAAACTGAGTCACATAATCGTTTACGTATCTGGCATAAGGTTGCTCAGACAGTAAGTGGCAGAACTGGGAGTCTAGTCCAGCAGCCTGGCTTGAGAGCCTCTGCCTTAACTGCTGTGTTTTGACTCAAGATATGAGCTTTCTGAGTAAGGGTATTGCACCAAGACTATTTACTTCTCATTCACAGATTTAGCAAGTATTCGTGGAGTAACTCCTAGGAGCCAGGCCTTTTCACGCAGATTCTCACACGTAACTGCCCAACAATCCTGTAAATGCATATTTATAACTTTTCCTATAGGGAGAGTAAACAGAGGCTCAGAGAGGTCATCTATCAAGTTGCAAGGTCATATTTCAAGTAAATGTAACAGTAGATATTTGAACACTTTGCACTGCTTCAGGTGTTACTCACTACAAGGCCAAAGTTTATTCATTCAAAGAACTGAGCACCTACTGTGTGTGAGGTACCGTGCTAATTCCTGCTGATGGTGAGCTGGACAGACATAGTCCCTACCTCTAAGAACCTACAGACAAGCAGGAGGAGTAGGCAGGTGAAGAATGACCACATAGAGGTAAAGAAAGTAAGGCAAAGGCTACTGTGGGGCCTTGGGGCAGGGAGACCAAACTCAACCCTAGGGGCCGAGGGACATCTTCCCTGAGGACAGGATATTTAAACTGAGGTGTAGGAATGAGAAAGAGGTACCTAGGCCAAGCCCAAGCTGGGGGTGGGTAGAGGGTGGAAGGGAAGCTGAGTAGAGGAACATTTCAGGCTGGGAGAGTAGTATGTGCAAAGGTTCAGAAGTATGAGAAAGATGGTTGGTCAGTTTCAGAGGGAAAAATACTAAGACAATGATAGCAAATGTTTTAGACCAAGACCCTGGAGACCCTGGAGGGGAGGCTGGAGGATAAGCAACAATCTGGAAGAAGCTGGTGGGATATGGAAGGTGAGAACCAGCTCTGCAGGATGGGAGACAGTAAGGCAATCGCTACTGAGCTCTTGGACCAGCACAGTGGCAATGGGATGGGGAAAAGTGAAGGTAATCAGGGGTATTTGGGAAGAAATTGATGACTATTAATGTCTGTTACTGAAATGGGCAACTCCGAGGCCAGAGCAGGCTGGGATGTGTGTGTGGGTGGCGGGGGTGCGTGGGGATGGTGGCACAGGGAGGCAGGGAAAGCCAAGAATTCTGCTTGGGCCGTGTATTTAGTTTTGCTACATCCTATTACCTCTTCACTCCCAGTTCCCA